GCCCTGACGCGGCGGCAGCTGGCTAATTCTTTTCTCTCTCTCCTGTTCACCCTAGCTTCGCGGGAATCGCTGATCCCATCCTCGTCGCCAGTATTGAGGATTGAAAGGAGGGACGCGACAGCCAGGGTGTGCTAACAAGAACTTCTTTATTTACAAGAGAAAACGAAGATGACAGCGATTCAAACAGGAGCTGCGCGCGCCAAGGTATTTATACAACATGAACGAAATATAACAGCCAATAGGAGACCGGGGACTGGGCAGCAACCGCTGTCAAGTCCCCTGTCCAATCAAATGTAACTCTCGGCCGGCAACAGCTCCTGCTGCGTCCTGGCCAATCAGGAGACAGCAGGCTGTTGCTGGCCTTTTGTAACAGTGCTGAACTGAATGAGCTATATTTGCATAGCTCATGAATATACAACAGAGTCTATAATCTGTGATGTCATTGTGCACTAGTGGCTCCTTCCAGCTTTGACGAAGGTTGGACTGTAGACTGATATGAGAAATGTAAGAAAAATAAAATAAAAAGAATGCTCTCTCTCCTTCTCCTCCACATGACCTGGGACCGGACCATTACAGGGTGGGGCCGGCTGCTGTCTCCACCGCCCAGAGAACAGACATCTCAGGTAAGAACCAACACCCATTCTCCAATGTTGGTGGAGATAGCAGCCAGGCTGGGACATACCAAAGTCAGGGCCGTCCTTAAAAGTGGGGATATGTCCGGTCTGGTGTCCATTATGTTACATGCACCTGTTGCAGCACTCTCCGGCCAAATGCCATATCAGCCGACGCATATCTGTCCAATTTTTAGTGCTGGAAGAAAGGAGTGGGTGATGTCCAGGTGGCAGCTTGACAAATTTCTTCGATGAGCGCTTATGTAGTCCATGCTGCTGTGGTGGCCGCGCTCCTGGTGGAGTGGGCTGTGATGTGGCATGGTGGTGGTAATGCCTAAGCTTTGTAGGACAGTTTGATGCATGTCCAAATCCAACAGGCTAGGATTGATGGTGTGGCTTTGACCCCCCGAGACACCTGTCAGAAAGACACGAACAGGGCCTCTGATCGTCGGAAGGTGACTGATGTAAATTTGTAGTGCCCTTCGGATGTCAAAGGAGTGCCACTTATGCTTGAGTTGACGTTGGGGAGATGGACAAAAATCCAGTAAGACCAGTTCCTGGGCCCTGTGAAATCTGGAGTTGATTTTTGGTATGAATGCTGGGTCAAGGCGTAACACCAGCTTGTCAGGGTGGAAATGCAGAGATCCTGTCTGACTGACAGAGACATGCCTGGCTGATGTTATGGCTACCAGGAATGCGGTCTTGAGCAAGAGGTGCCTTAAAGGACCTCGAAAGCAAGGACTCAAGCAGTGGAGTAGTGAGCACCTCCAGCACCTTGGGCAAGTCCCAGGTTGGGTACCTTCTGGATGACTGGCTGATGAAGGTTAGAGGCGCCACGGAGGAATCAGCGAACAAGTGGATGTTAAGAATTTTGTTTTTTTTTAAGCCTGGAATATAAAGAAGATATAAAAGGAATACAAAGAAGGCTGTAATAACAGAGAGAAAGGAAGTATCACCACCACTTGGATGCTGGAGGCTTGGAAATATTGTCTTTTCTTTTTTTCTTTTGATCATTTGACTTTGCATTTCAAGGTTCCTCAGCTTGTTTACAGAGAGTGATAGTGAGAAGAGCATGGGCTGTTTATACAGGTGCTCTTCGGGAGCTTTATTGGCAGCTAGTGAAATGAAAACAAAGCCTTGTCTTGAAAGATTGTAAATGAACTTGCTTTAAATTTAGTAAAAAGTTTTGAATGCCAGAGTGGCAGTGTTTGCAAGTTAGAAGAATGGCGCAACATGACAAAGAAACGTTAACATTGCAAAAGATTATGTTTGAAATTCAAAAATTATTAGAAGTAACAGAAAATTGAGAAGAAATTGGAGAACATAGATCGTAGAACAGCAAAATTTGATGGAAAAATTGAGGATGTTCATCAAATGAAGAAAGTGGAGGTCAGAGTTCTAAAAACTGAAGGAAAAAATAAAAGAGACAAGAAAATTGTTGATACTGACAGTGAACTGAGTGTGGTTGGAACTGGAAAGAGTGGAATATGGAAAGGGGAGATAGATGGACTGGAGCTCTACCCCAGATTTCAAAGTATAGAAGAAGAAAAGAGAGAAGAATTGGTGGAGCTAAGGGGAGAAATTTTGTCAGAAGCACTTGTGATAACCAAAGTTAAGCTGGTCGAAGAAGCAGATGGAGGGTTTCGAGCTTACACAAGGTATGCAATAAGCATAAGTTGCGAAGAGAAGTCCATACAAAACTTACTAAGGAAATAACCAGAATACTAATGCCACAAAATGGCAAGAGACATAACACTGGACTATTACTGGAAAACACAGGTTGATGTAATGAAAACGTATAATAAAAAATTAAGTCAAATTTAGTTAAATTTAGAGCATTATGTATAAAATGAAGTGATATAGATACAGTTAAATAATTGATTGATAATGATAACAATGCATATAAATGTATTGGTTTGATAAGAGGAAATTTGATACAAATTGCAAATGGTGACTACGAACGGAGGTTTAGAAACTCTGTTATTAAATATAACCAATTTTTATTTAGAACATGTTATAAAGATATAATGTTACTGGATGATATTGCCATTATGTGGTTTTGCTTTAAATCTGGAATATTTTATATAAAAGGATGTAAAAATAATTATAGTCAAATGAAGGTTGAGGTATGATGATAGTAATATATATATAAATATATTTGATTTAAAATATATGATTTGATATGAATTGTAGGCGATGACTGTGGAAGGGAAGCACGGAGGTTTTTGTAACCAAGACACACTTTCTACAATTTGTAATGGAAGATGGTTTTGTGTGTATTTTTATATGTTTTGTCTGTGTTTATTCAAAAATAAAAAAAATTCTTTATAAAAAAAATGGCCGCCATGCTTCTACACCCCTGGCAATGTTAGGTGATATTCCGGCTCCGAGGAAAAAGCGTGAGCTGATGGAGATCTGAGGCCACTCATCCAGAAAGCCTTTGAGTGAGCGCTCGTGAGCCTGGTGGTCTGGTTGTGGCAAGGATTGCGACACAGTATTCCAGAACTAATTTGAGGGCGCAGTCGCTGCCCTCACAGCCTTGAGGCCTCAACGATCCAGCCGGACCGCAGGCCCTGCTGGCCAATTTTTCCATCTCCTGCTCAATCCTAATTTAAAATGGAGCAGGGAGACCTAAATTGGAAAAAAATGTTTTAGAAAAAAGCCAATTGGAATTAATTTATCTCTGATCTACCAGGGAGAGAGCAAATATCACGTTCAGTCCTGAATAGACTGAGTCTGAAGTTGGGAGGAGCCACCAGTGCACAATGACATCACAGATTGTAGACTCAGTCCAATTGGATACTTGGATAGAGTAAACCCAGCCTGGCTGCTATCTCCACCAATATTGGAGAATTTCCCCCATGCTTCTTCAGGAATTCTGTAGTTGTCTGTCCAAATACAGGTGGTCCTCGACTTACAACAGTTCATTTAGTGACTGTTCAAAGTTACAATATCACTGGACTTATGACCATTTTTCTCACTTAAAACCACTGCAGCATCCCTATTGTCAAGTGATGAAAATTCAGACGCTTGGCAACTAGCTCATATTTATGATGGCTGCCATGTCCCGGGGTCATGTGATTAATCTTTTGTGACCTTCCGACAACCAAACGTCAATGGGGAAGCCAAATTCACTTAATAACTGTGCTAGTAATGATTCACTTAAGAACTGTGACAAGAAAGGTCCTAAAATGGGGTGGGGGGATTCACTTAAAGTCTTGCTTAGCAACAGAAAGTTTGGGCTGAATTGAGGTCATAAGTCAAGGATTAAACACTAAGGTCAGGGGACTAAAATATTTGTAACCCATCAAACTACATAAATCCAGTCAGCCATGTGGCAACATCTCTGTGCATCTCCATTAGTTTTGCACTTGCTGAACCTTCAAAACAATAGTGGGTCAAAGTTGGGACAGTTATCAACACAAACAATATGGAGCTTGACCAAGTCTCAAATTCTAGAAGCCCTAAGCAGGATCCCAAATCTTGAGGGGGAAGGAATAAAAAACAGAGATAACTATATTGACTTCTTACCCCATCCAGTAAGGAGATATGCGGAGAAGTGTCTGTTAGAAGAGAACATGATCATAAGGAGGATGTGGAGATAAAGTCCTTCAACTAAGAGCCAATAAAAGTTGGCCATTACACAGTACTGGAAAAATACCAAGCTAGCCTTGCAGCCGACCTGAAAGTTACAAATCAAGGATGAAATGTTTATGCAAAGAATCTGCTGTAACACAGTAAATGGTTTCCTTTGTTTAAAAGCTCTTTTGATAGATACAAGCTTTGACAAGAGATTTCTCCTTCCATGAATTTAGCTATTGATGGGCTGAAACAGGCTCTTTCAACTGTTTTGGACTAAGTTCAATGAATGGAAGCAAATGCCAAGTGCTTCTCAAAACCAGGTTTGAGACTGATGTACTTGGTTTTTTTACCTCCTAACTTTGTGGCATATTCGTCATGTTGTGTTCTTTTTTACAATCAAATTTGTCTGCGATTTTCTTACAGATTTCAGTGCAAAAAAAAGGCCCAGGAATTAAAAACGTCATCTCCTCTGAGAATCAGGAGATGGCAGAGGTATTTAAGACCACCCATTAATCAGAAGTAATTTGGTTTGGGAAACATGTTCCCATCCCTTTTTAAAGTTAGTTTATTCTACGGCAGCTGTGCCAGAAGCAAAAAATAGCTCATGGAATGCACAACCCTGAGGAAAAACTGAAAAGCATTGCTTGACTATTGTATAAGTAAACCAGAATAAAAGCACAGCATAAGTGATTCGTTGCTGCAGATATTTCATCACATGGACCACATTACAACAATGCCAGCAAGTTAGGACTTTGAAGAAATAGTCAGAAGTAGGGGGAGGAGAAGAATGTTCTTTCTCAAATTAGCCAAGGCAGTCACTCCCATCTGAATTGTATGAGACTGAACATGCAAAGCATTTTTGTCAGAATACCTTTGTGAAAAGCCATGTCACATTTAATTAACAGGGGAAGGAAAGGGATTACATATGAGGAAGCTTCATGCTGAAGACTAAAACTCCAATTGCTACCAGATTCTTGGTTCGCATTAATTAAGCGGAAGGGAAGGGAATCGTAATATAATTGGATTTGAGAAATATATTTAATTGCTGTATTTCTTCAGACTGTCTTCTCTATCAAGACTTCTCTCTTTTATAAAGGTAAAGGTTCCCCTCACATATTATCTGCTAGTCATTCCTGACTCTAGGGGGCAGTGCTCATCTCCATTTCAAAGCCAAAGAGCCAGCGCTGCCTGAAGATGTCTCCGTGGTTATGTGGCCGACATGATAAAATGAAGGTGTACAGTACACTGTTACCTTCCCATCAAAGGTGGTTCCTATTTTTCTACTTGCATTTTTTAAAATAAATTTTATTTTGTTTGTACAAACTTCACATCTTTGCANCTGACTGTGATCTGCAGTTCAGCGGTTCAAATCTCACCGGCTCAAGGTCGACTCAGCCTTCCATCCTTCCGAGGTGGGTGAAATGAGGACCCAGATTGTGGGGGCAAGTTGCTGACTCAATTTGCTAAAAAATTTGTAAACCGCTTAGAGAGGGCCAAAAGCCCTATGAAGCGGTATATAAATCTAATAAATAAATAAATATTTTATAATGGTTTTATCAACAATTGGTATGTCTAGTTTTCAGCAAAAAAATATATATGGTAAAATTAGGTCAGTCACATTGACTGATCATTTTATGTCCATTACAATATTTTTCTGTAGTGGGAAGGGTCCATTATGATCACATGTTGAGATTCTTCTTTGCAGAGAGTCACATGGAAACATGTACCTCTATAATAAATTGATTCCAATAGCATGGCATATGACATTGTTTAATTATCTTTTGTAATTCTAAAGGAAAATAGGATTCTTAAAAACATAGACAAAATGTAGGTTTAAGATTTCTGCCAACACTTGAGGAAAATGTGCTGCTAACACTTACACAGCAATGTGTTTAAGATACTGCACCAACCTGCAGTCAGTTTAGTGCATCTTAGGTATCATAATTTCTTCTTGGCCTCATAGAATTCTGCTCAAGGTGTGAAAGTGATCAGCAAAAGTGAAAAGTAAAAGCAAACAAACACCCTCATTTACTCTCCTACTTCTTTCTACTGACATATCACTGACCAAATGTAAGCTATCCTTTCCCTTGTTTTCACAACACATGATAAAATTATACATGAGTTATTATCAAAGGGAGATTTGTGTCTTTTTCCTCCCACTATCTCTCACAATATGATATGATGGATAACTCAAACTCTATTGTGATAATATCCCTTGAGTTTTTCCTATCATGTATCACATCTTCTGCTTCCAACAGTGCAGAAGAAGAAAAGGTGGTGATAATAGGGAATGAAACAATTGCATTAAACAGAGGGAGCTACACACTACATTAAGTTGTTCCATATGTTGCAGCAGATTGAGGTTTGTAATCTACTTAAGAAAGACCAGGACTNCACACACACACACACACACACACACACACACACAACTGCTCTGTCATGTACATTCTCTGGAATCTTTACATGCTGTTATAGCACTGATCCAAGATGTAAGGTTGATAAAGGAGAACCTTGATTTTAATAAAATCAATCAGCATATCAGCTGCATCTAATGCTGTCTTCCCCAAAGCAGAGAGGAAGCCATTACATACATACATACATACATACATACATACATACATACATACATATAAAATATATATAAATCACCACCACCACCACCTTGCAGTCCTATGTTCCAATTCTTTTCCAGCAAGCCAGAACAGAAGTCTCACTACCCTTGCTGATAACCTACAATGATGTCAAAGATCATGGACATGACAGAAACGAAATAACTTCTCCACTTACCCAAGAAGCATGATCTGAACACTTAGCTGGGCTAGTGTCGGAATAGAGGATTCCATCTTTAACTAAGACAGCGATTGCCTTTAAAATGAAAGACAGGAACAGATTCAAATGTATGTAGTTCCGAGTGCAGTGAAGTTTCCTGCATATGGAAAGAGAAAAAACAAAAACAAAGTATAGCTGAAGATCTTTCTACTTACGGTCTGTTTTTGATAAGAACAATTAAGAAAAGAATATAATGTAGGTGTAGCCAGGGGTGGTATTCACTTATCTTCCCTACCGGTTTACAAATGTGAGCGTGTTTGGGGGTGCAGTCGCTTTTCTCGCACGTGCCACTTCCATGCATATGCACAGCCTTCTGCGCATGCGCTTTTGTTGAAGAAATGGCCTAAATGGGATGCCGTAGAACTTGAGCGGGACCATCCGCAATTTCCGCTACCAGTTTGGGCGAACTGGTCCAAAATGGCAGAATACCACCTCTGGGTGTAGCTCTTGAGTGCCCCATATCTATATTCTGCTTTGCCCTCTGCTATTCTACAAGCTGCATCACCTTTACTGTTGAGACATAATAATGCCAAAAGCTCTCCTTTTAGGGGATAGTCCAGAGTTAGCAGTAAAGAATCAGAATCTCTCATGCTCCACGCAAACAGAATAAAAATTAAATAGTTATTAAAATGCAAAGTTACTCTAGTTTGCACGGTCTTGTGTGACAAATGAGGGATCTTGAGGGATTTCACTGAAAACTGAGAAAAACTGATGGCTGTGTCTTAACTTAAAATAATTGCTAAAGTGATTTATTTTAAGGCAAGGATGCCTTTCATTTCTCTTTCTCTCCTTGGAGGGTTGCAAGGAGGAAATATAGTTTAACAGTTTTAGCCTCTTTTTTGTTTTTTGGAATGAGCTGGGTTTTGGAGTGGTTATTTCCTCAAATGTGAAAGATGGATCATAAGGAAGCGCTGAAGAATTGGTGCTTTTGAATTGCAGTGTTGGAGAAGACTGTTGAGAGTCACTTGGACTTCAAAGAGACCAAATTAGTCAATTCTAAAGGAAATCAACCCTGACTGTTCTTTGGAAGGACAGATCCCAAAGCTGAAATAGATCACCTAATGAGAAGAGAGGACTCATTGGAAAAGACCCTGATGTTGGGAAAGACGGAAGCAAAAGAAGAAGAGGACAGCAGTCGATGAGATGGTTAGATAGTGTCATTGATGTAATGAACATGAATATGGGCAAACTCCAAGAGGAAATGAAGGACATGGCTTAGCAAGTAAACAAAAACAAAATTCCCTTAAAATAGATGTGTTAAATCTCCTAGCGCAGTCTACTGTTCAAGAAACTATTATTTCTACATGCTCCATCCAGACTGCAGTTTCCTGTTCTATGTAAAGATGGTGAGATTTCTGGGGTACTACTCTCTGTTCGTCCTCGTTGTGGTGGGGTCTCCCCTTGTGTTTTCCACCCGCCATTTAGCGCTTCCCTACTGTGGCATTTCAACATCTTGCCTCCTCTAGCCGCGGCCTTTGGATTTTTAGACCCGCTGGCACACCCCCACCTGGCTTTGAACATTATCCCCATCATCCCCCGCCATTACCTTTGGGGCTCTATCTGGGACAGCGCCTGTGGAAGAAGGCCCCCTGCCTCCCTCAATTGCTCCTAACTCTTTGGACCCTTTCA